GGCCCGCGCCACGTCGCGCCAGGCGAAGAGGGCCAGGTCGTTCAGGTCGCGGCGGCAGATCTGCAAACCCACGCGGCGGCTCTGCTTGACCAACTTGACGACGTGGTTCGCCGCTGCGAAGAGGCCGCGGGCCCCGGTCGGGACCTTCGACTGGAGGTCCGCCACCCAGTAGACCTCACCGCAGACTGCTCGCGGCACCGTCTTGTCCGCGTCTAATAGGGCATCTGCGGTGCGTCGCTTGCTTCCGTCGGCTGCTCAAACTTCTGGGTTCTCGTCGACGCGCGCCTGCTGGCGAAGGAAGGGGCCCTTCTCAATCTCCTCGATCGCGATGCCGCACTGCTCGAGGGAGGTGAGCCCCTCGATCATGTCCACCAAAGGCCCCACGTGTAGAGCCCTCGGGTCTGCTGGACCATGGCCCGCCACTCGGGGCGCGACGCGTCGCCCGCGAGGATGAAGTCGCCCACGCGAGCCATGGCCACGCCGACAAGGGAGCCTGTCTGGGGACAGCGGGCCTTCCAGAGGCAGGGTTCCAGCTCGCACGCCTGCGTGCCCAATTTCGCGAAGTCGCCCTTAACGGTCTCCCACTTGTGCCGAGGTGCCTCGCCGATGCCGTACCCTGGTTTCACCACCTGCAGGATCTCGCCGTCCTTCACCTGGAAAGGCTTCTTGAGAACCACGTCGGGCTCGATGGAGATCACTGTCCAGCTCGTAAGCCTGGAGGAAGGCCGAGGACACGTCGCCCTTGACCAGCTTCCAGAAGGCGCGCTGCCGCCACAATGAGCGCCAGGTTCCGTGCCCGCCTACATGCCGTCGGGCTTGCCGTCGGTTCCTGGACCAGGTCCTTGGTCTGGTAGCCGAGAAGCACCAGGCGAGCTTTTCCTCGGACGACGTCGGCCGCGCCCTTGACCCGAGTGATGGGCACGGGTCGGAGCCCCTGCTGTTGGACCCCGTCGCTGGTTCCCTTGGCTATGGCCCCTTCGAACTCCTCGCGCTCACTGGGGTTCATCTTCGACAAATTTAGCTCCACCTTGTCCTTGCGGCGCTGGTTGGCGACGTCGCTGTCCAAGATGTGATTCATCAACCCTTGCTGGCCGTCAGGCGTCGTGTTCTCGTCCACCAGGCACTCGAAGTAGGCGGTCTGTTCCCCGTCGCTGTCGAGCGCGATGTCCAGCTTGTCGTGGGAGAGGTCGACCAGTAGGTTGGACTGGTCCTCCATCGCCTTGTTCATTTCCTCGTCAGGGGCCACGTGGAGGTCCATCTCTGGCCCGCGGCGGGCCACCCGCCAGCGTGGCCGCGATCCCCCTCGGGCCGCGGCGCCCGACGCAGAGCATGCGGCCCCACCTGGCAAAGGTCGCGAGGGCGCATGTGATGCACTCCTGGCCAGCGTCGAGGTAGTAGCTCGAGCTGGCGGCGAAATCGGAGCTGCCGGTCGATCGACCCAGCGCGAGGGAGGTGATCGAGACCTCCCGTCTGGCTTCTCACTTGGCTCTCCCTCTGGCTGCTGTATCGAGCTGGGCGTTGCCGGTCTCGAAGGTGCTGCTGTGCCAGCTGGTCCACTATCCGCGCCTGGAGGTAGTTTCGCCTCGTCCGTGGCTGAGGGCGGTTCCTCAGCTCACGCAGCGTCGTTGGGGATCTCTATCGCGGGCTGCGCTGGAGGTTCGTAGTCTTGAAGATCTGGTCGGCCTTGTCCCAAGAGGTCCTCGCAGGTCCCTGCTTTTGCCGTCTCCAGGATCTCCGTCATAGTCTTGTCGAGGTTCGTCTGTCGTTGGAGCTCGGCGATCATCTTCTCTGCCTCTGAGGCGGCGCGCAGTTGCTCTGGGGCGCACCTGAGAAGCACGCATCCGTGGGAGATCCAGGTCACCGACGTCGGGCGCGCCCGCCCGTCCACGCGCCGCCTCGCCTGCACGAGAACTCGAACGGGGCCATGCCACCCTCCTTTCTTGCCGGAGCGGTTCTCCTGGCCCTTCCCATTGCGCCAGAAATGACAAGGCGCCCAAGGTTCCAGGTCTTGTAAAGACAGCTCCGAGCACGTTCCGCATGACGGCGTCGCCCCGCATACAAGACATCCAGGAAAATCTCGCTCGCGAGTAGGCATCGCTGCTCCTGGGTCTCGCCGGCGCCCCCGTCGACGATGGCGAAGAGGCTGCTGGGCACAGGCATCCCGGCGACGCCCACCCAATAGCCGGTGGGCCTCGCCTGGAAGTTTCCAAAGCTCAATCCGGGTATATGAGCACCACTTGGCGACTGCTTGTGACCGATCGCACCTTTCCAAATCAAGTCGGAGGAGGTTTGGCCGACGGTAGTTACCGCACCACGTGTTCCACGTTGAGATCACCTTCGATGTAAACCTGTTGCCGTTGCGCTCGCCCTTCGGCCCGCGGAAGGTGACGCTCGCCAGGCCTGCGTCTTATTTCGGCGAGAGCCACTCGAGGCCGTCCGAGGCAAGGACTTCGAGCACTCCAGGCAGCTCGATACCTGACGCTACCCTCGCGGCATTCGGTAGTTGCCCCGCATGACATCCGTGGCACTGGAGGCGCAGCGCACCGCGTAGGACCTGGACTGGCGCTCCCGAGGCCTTGAGGATTTTGCACGACGTCTTGTTACTCGGGTGTCCGAGGTTCCGGTGGAGCCCCATCAGCCGCTGCTCGATCTCCAGCTCCTCCTTCTTCGTCGGGGTCTCTGAGATCCTTAGTCCCTTCACGTTGGCCTCCTCGTCCACGGCGTCGGCATCGCCCAGTTGGAGGTGCTCACCCAAGGAGTCTGCCAGTTCTCCTCCAGCGTCCTCAGGCATCTGTCCCAGACCGGCGAAGATCTCCATGCCGCACTGGACACTCACGTTCTCCCGCAGGATGTGCTGTGTCCAAGCCTTGAACAAGGCCAGGGGATAATACGCCGTCTGCGCCACCACCTATCCGTCCTCGATGACCCGATACACGCACGCGGACGTCGCCCCTTCCCGGACGATTTGAACAGGTCTCGCCAAGCTTCGCGCCGAACTCCGGGTTGGTCGAGCAGACTCGCCAGGCCTTCTTCATCAGCGAGCCAGATCGAATCTCGCGAAAACCATGGGCGCAGCCATGATCGCGGTCTCGTGCATCCGCTCGCGCATCGCCTTGATGACGGGAGACTGTGGCCAGCTCCGACTGGTGGCTGGCTGTTCGAGGCCTGCGTGACAATCAAGGATCTTCTGCGCCTCCTACCAGAGGGTCTTGCACTTGCGCTGGATCTGGCAGGCCCTGCGCACCTTCGACAGATACTGTAGCTTTTGTCGGTCGGTCCTCTGGTGGATGTTCTGGATCGGACAGTCTGCCGTGCACGGCGGGCTCAGAACCAGCCGACGGGGTTGGAGTCGCCGCATGAGGCGCATGGCCACCGTAATCCAGCAGCCGTCGCCGCGTCTATCCCGTTGAAACTCCTGCACCACCTTGCTCAGGCCAGGGACCTCTGGGCAGCATACCTCCATGAAGTCAACGCGGTGGGGCTTGGACACCTCCGCGAGGTCCTCGGCGACGCTCGTGTAGATCTCGCCCATGACCTGGTCGTGGCACTCGCAGAACATCTCGAGGTCTGAGTCGTCGAGCGCCCCAAGCGCCCCCGTTTCAGCCCCGCCCCCGCCATGTCCGAGTCGTCGAGCATCTCCGCCGTGAACTCCCCGCCGCCCTGGAACTCCAGCACGTCACCTTGCTGGCCAGGCGTCTCCAGCGTAGAGCCACTGCTCGCCCCCCGATCGCCCCAACAAGATTTTGCCCACTGGTGAATCTTGCCCCCGCGGCAGCTGCACCCCCGGATCGTCGTTCCGAGCACGAGCACGCGCTCCTCGGTGGCGTCGTTCCCGCTACGCTCGATGGAGGGCTGGACGCTGGCGCCGCCGCTGTCGTCGCCGAGGTCGCAGGGGCCCCAAGCGCCCCCAGGCTGACCCCCGTCGGATGCACTGGCGGCTGCTCCCCCCGAAGCACCTGCATCCGCGTTTCGCCCTCCCTAGAACCTCATACCGCGAACACATCCCCGCCGGGATGTAGCTCGCTGAGGACTCCGGGGCTTGCCGGCGCTGCCGGAGCCGGCACTGGCATCGCAGTTATCCATCACAACCTTGGGCCGCTCCACGCGGCCACTGGCGGCACAGGCACACGCGCGCGCGTAGAGCGCGAGAAGTCGCTGCATGACATCAGAATTTGAAGGACACGGAAATCAACTACCAGTCGAGGTTGCCGCCGAATTTATAAATAAAGCCGAACGTGGCTGAGAACATGGCGACGATGCCGATGGTTTGCTCTCATTTCCACGTCGCATTGTCCGCTTGTTTTCGTTATCCATAAGCTTGCTTCTCATGCTGGCCCCCGAGGCTAATTCGCTCGATCTCTCCCAAGCGTTCTTGATGCCCCTATAAACTGCGATGATGTCAGGGAGCGGCTCGGCGAAGAAACGGTTCCGTCGCTCCAGACGATCCGCTCTCTGTCGCAGTTTCTGTCGTCCTGGTCGGCGCCCGCGCCGCCGAAATTCCCGTCGCTCTGGCTCAAGTGTTTCGTCGTCTCGCTAACCAGGTCGGACGGGCCCCCCTATGGCGAGAATGACGAGGCAGATTGGTTCTCTCTCGCCGCCATCACCGGGGGGGCGTCGCCCCTGGCGCGCGGCGAGACAGCAGCGGCAAGGGGCTGCCCCTCTCAGCAGCTCCTCGACCAGCGCACTCTGCGCCGACCCAACCGAAGTCAGGCATCCGTCGGCACTGGGCAAGGACAGCGGCACCCCCCCCCCACCATTGCGGCGTCGACAGGTTGACGGCCACGCGCTTGCCGGAGAGGCGATCGCAGCAGAGGGCTCCGTCGTCGAGGGCCGGGGGGCCGATCCGCATGCGGCCGCGATCGACCACCACATTCAGAGCGTCCGTCAATATGTCCATGCCCAGGATGATCGGGACGCAATTCGGCATCACCGAAAGACTGATCTTGACCAGCTCGCCTCCCAAGAAAGCTCCGCCTGATGCTGTGCCCATTGAACTCTTCTGCAGGCCGTTGCCGAAAGTGAATGAGCATGAACCGCTGTCCGTCTCGAACTCCACATGGTGCTGGTCCAGCATCTCGTACATGAGGCCCTCGATGCCCGACCCCGCCGAGGCTCCTGGCGGCCCCGATGTCGAGGATTACCCAGATGCCATCTCCCTCCAGGAGGCACACGTAGTCGCCCAGGGCTGACACGATGAATCCGTTGCGTGCACTGCTCTTCCCGTGATCGCCACTATTTGCCCCTGTCTCGCCAAACCTCTCTGGGCAGTCCGCGGCGCGGTGCCCATACACAAGGCAGGCAACGCACTCCATCTTCGAAACACCCCTGCGTCCACCGCCACGCGCCGACTCGCACTGAGGGCGCCCTCCGACACGCCCGCGACCCCGTCCACGGCCAGGACGGAAGTGCCCCCGGCCAGGGGCTGGCGGCGGCGGGGATCGCCACTGCTGCCCGTCTTTCGTGGCCACCACCGGGTGGCTGTCTCGCGACACTCGCAGGCCCCGTAGTAGGTCCCGCGCGCCCATGAAACCCCTGCCCGCCAGCTCGAACTCCGCGAACACTTTGGTGTCCACGTTATGACCGTCAATTGCAGGATCTTCATCCTCTTCCACGTCTACCAGGTTGATCAGCTGCTCGACCACACCATGAAACTCATCATGGCATCCACCGATCTCCTCTTCTAGGTCGTCCGCGTCCTCTTCGTAGAAGGGCTTGTCGCGTCGCCATTTGCCGCTGATCTCCGCTAGCGCTTCCGCGGGGAACCTCGCCAGCAGACTTTTGTAGACCTTCCCGTAATCAGAGTCGCCACCAGCTGCGGCGGCGATCTCTCCTCGCATTGCCGGCGTTACTCTGGACTTCCTCAAGAACCACCACGTGCGCAACGGCCATGCTATCACTTCTGCCATGTCCCCGTCGGTCGCCTTGAGATGCCGTAGCTCGCTCCTTCTTCTCGAACCCGGCCGCCCAGTCCTGGACAATCTCACCCGTGCCCCTGGCGACCCTCAGGAAGAACCTACTCCGCGAGGAGCCCAGTGTCATTGAGGCTCGCGTAGCCCAGCTTCTCCAAACATAATCCAGGACTCGGTTCCAGCCCAGCCCACCAAGACTCCGCCCTTATCGTTCTCGTCGACCTCGTCAATGGACGGGCGACCCTCCACCGTCGTCCGGACTCGCGCCCCAAGGGCGCGCTCTATCTGCGGGCCGCACACGTGGCGGTCCGCCACACTGATACTCTTCGTGAACATGGCGACCTTGAACTTGTAACTCGTCAGCGTCTCTGCCGAACCGTTCCAGGTCGGCACGTCCACGCACGTCGCAGTAATCGCCGACTGGCTGGGCCCAAAGGTCATCATACCTCCCGCCATTCAGGCCGACACCGGTGGAAGCCCAGGAGACCACAGGCTCCGCTACCAATCTGACTCGTAGGGCTCCAAGATGAGGTCCACGTCGGAAATGTCGTCGTCAGACGCGAGGATATTCGCTGGCATATCAACGTCGACGGCGACCGCAGGTCTCCCGGTCAGTAAAGAACCCGCCCGCCCTCACCTTCGAGCCCGGGTGGGCGATTGAAGAAAACATGTCAGGAAAGGAGCAAAATCGCAGTATACACTCTTTTGCCCGCGTTGCTTTCACACCCAGGGCGGCCCCCCAGGGCTGGCAGGCGCTGTCGATTTGGGCGAGCCCCAGAGCTCTACCCCGGCGCCTCAAGCCCAGGGCCCAATAAGCGGGCGCTCCGCAGCCAGACAGAGCCAGGACCTGAGCTGCGCTCCGTCGTCGCGCGACGGATGCAGACAGGCGGCGGCCCAGCTGACGCTGGGGAAGGGGCCGGACCAGCGCAGCCTCTTCTGCGCTGAGTGCTAGAGCGCCTTGGAGGCTGAGCGGGCGACGCCTCAGGCGCAGCCACTGGCACGGGAGCTGGCCGCCGGCGGCGGCGGAGGGCCCCGGCCCGCGCGCGACGCCTTGGAGGCGCAAGCGGCTCCCCCCAAGCTGGAGGCTTCAGGGGCGAGCGCCCCCACGCGTGGGCCGCGGGGCCGCGGGGCCTTCCGTGCACGGCAAGTCAAAACACCTACGAGAAGGCTTCGTCCTGCGCTGGGCCACTTGGAGCACCGCCCCAGCGGGAGAGACGCAGGCCTCCCCGGCTCCGAGCGCCGCGCAGCAGCCCGCGGGCGCCCCTGAGCGCGTCGAATGCACCGAGCCGACAGGCCACGGCGCCCGCGGCGCCAGGCCTGGGCAGGGTCAGGACGCACGGATCGACGCCGGGGACTCGGCAGGCATCGCCTGCATGGGTTGCGGGCAGCCCGCGCATGCTCTCCTCGCGACCGAGGGGCCCTCGGGGCTGATGCTTTCGTGCGGCGCCCGCGGGCTGGCAAGCCCCCGCTTCGACAACGGGGCGCCCCCCTCGCAACCCTCGCCCCCGCCGGGCCAAGAGAGCGACACCCAGACTTGGGACTCGCCGCGAACACCCGTCGCGCCGAAGCCGAGCCGCCCGGAGGCGGCGCCTCCGACGCGGGTGGCTTGCGACCCGCTGTTGCGCGATTGCAAAAACAGGTGCCGGCAGGCCTCCCGCCTGCGCCGCCGCCGCCTGGACAAGTGGGCCCGGATGCTTCCTGACGGGGGCGTCCCGACCGACCGGGTCGCGCTGTGACGGGCGCACACCCTCCCGGCAGCCCCTGATGGCCAACGACAAACGGAACCACGCGCCGAAAGTCTCCTCTCCCCCGAGCGGGGCGCTGCTGCAACTCGGCCACGGAGTGGGAGCAGTCCATGTGCGGCTGCGCAAAGGAGGCCACGTCCACGCGTCAGCCGGCCCGGGGGTCCAGGAGCTGATCATGGCCAAGCTGGAGGGCTGGACCGTGCACAACGGCAACCCGCCCGTCCCGCAAGGGGCCAGCGCCGGCGGTCCGCGGGGGGCCCCGGTCTCTGCCGCCCCTGCCACCCGCAGACGGGACGCCCCCGACGACCGCGTGACCAACAGCCCCGCGTCACGCTGGGTCCCATCTTCGGTGCTCTGTCCATTCCCCTGCCCTCGGATGCTTGTCCTGGCCACCCCCCTCCCACCCACCGTCCTCTAGGATGCGGTCTCCGTGCGCCCGAGGGGGCTGCAGGTAGCGAAATCCCATCGGACCCAACCAACCCAAACCAACCCCTCGGGTCATGACAACATCACGACGGGAAAGTTTCGCTACTTTTCGGGAGCGGCCAAGAGGGGGTTGTCCAAGAGGGGGGGGTGCTGGGCACTGCTACTGACGCGGTCGCAGATCGAGGATGTTGTATAAGATCCACACAGGAAATACGGATCCAGTAGATGGACACTATATTCGAACCCTTACACATTCAAGGGAGATTCTAAATCACCCCCGCGCCCCCGACATCAATGCTGATCGCAGTAAAAACGGTGCTTTGGGGTTCGAATATTTCTGTCCCCTCGCGCCCCCGCCGTCCCCACGCCATCAATAATAATGTCGGGGGGTCTGGGGGGCCATGTACGGTCCCTCCAGTTGCCCCCGCCGCCGCCCCTCCGGACCACTATCTGCCTCTTCTTGCGCGCAGCTCCCAGCCAATGGCATTCTCCGACGGCCAGCCGGCGCACTCCGACGGCACCCCGCCCACCCAAAAAACAGGATCACCTTCTTCATCCCTCCCTCCCTCCCTCCCCCCCTCCCTCCCCCCCTCCCTCCCTCCCTCCCCCCCTCCCTCCTTCCCTCCCCCCCTCCCTCCCCCCCCTCCCTCCCTCCCCGCCCTCTCGCGGCAGGTTCAGGTCCGGCGGGTCGGGCTCGGGCCAGGGGGGCGGGCCCGCCCGAGACTGGCCAGAGCAGGCCGCGGGGCGGGGGCGCCCCCGAGAGGGCCCGGCCTGCCCAGCGGCGGTGTCGCGCGCCTCCCCCCCTTCTGCCCCCCCTTCTGCCCCCCCTTCTGCCCCTGCCCTCTCGCGCCCGAGACTTCCCCGCCAGTTGCGATCCTGACGCTTAGAGTTCGCAGCGGCTTCCCGGCTGGAGCTCTCGCCTCATCGCCGCGCGCAGTCTCAGAAGCTTGCAGCAGCTTCACGGATGGAGACCCTTTTTTCGTTGAGACATGAGCACACATCGCAGCCCCCTCGCAGTCGATCTGTGGAGGGGGGCCATCCCCATTTGTCGGCCCACGGTGCGGCTTTGCGCAGGCTGCACACCGTGAACCCGCGACAGGCCCCCCTCCCCAACAAAGGGTGTCCGAGCGCGCGTTCCCTGGAGCAGAAAACTGAGCAAACTGACAGACTGGAGACCCCCCCCTGCCCCTGCCCTCTCGCGCCCGAGACTTCCTCGCCAGTTAAGACCCTGGCGCCCGGGACGTGCAGCGGCTTCGCGGCTGGAGGCCGGGGCCGCTCTCAGAGGTGCAGCTCTCGCCTCGGCGCCGCGCGCACTGCCTCGGCAGCCTGCAGCAGCTTCACGGATGGAGGGCGGGCGGTTTTCCAGACGTGACTCTCGCCTGACCCCCGCGCACATTCGTCCTAAGGGTTCACGACAGCTTCAAAGATTATGATGCTGTTTTGGCACGACGTCGGATCGTCCCGGCGCAACAGTCACACTGCTTCGCGGTGTTGGAATCCCAAGAATCACGTTCGGGCACGAGGCAGGAGCGTCAAGACGCAATGATAACGGTGATTCATGACGTTCTGGCACAATTCTGGATGTTCCAACAATTGTCTTCCAACGGGGCATTTCCCCCAGTGCAATGAATCCGTGTAGGAGCTTTTCCAGGAGGGTTTACTGCAACATCCTCTTGGGTTTACACTGGTCCTCCTCCTCCTCCTCCTCCTAACCTCCTTCTCCTTCTCCTGTTCCTGTTCCTTCTCCTCCACCTCATCCTCCTCCTTTTCCTCCTCGTCCTCCTCCTTTTCCTCTTCATCCTCCTCCTCCTCCTCCTCACTCCCTTCTTCTCCTCCCATTCCTCCTCCTCCTCCTCCTCATCCTGATTCTCCTCCTCATCCTCATCGTCCTCCTCCTCCTCGTCCTCCTCCTCCTCTTCCTCCCTTCTCCTTCCGCCTGGCCAGGCCCATCCTTGACCGAGAATCGGTGCATGAGCACGTAGAAGAATAAGATGAAGAAGAAGAAGAAGAAGAGAAGAAAAAGAAGAAGAAGACGAAAACGGCGGGAACTGTCTGGGCTCCGAAACTTTCTGGTCGTGCTGTCGTTTCCGAGTCGAGCTCTCCTGGCCAGTGCAGGAAGCCGCACGCACCGATCCCAGTGATCGGCGGCGTGCCCACGGAGGGGCAGTGAGAGAGAAGCGGCAGTGAGAGAGAAGCGGCATCCCTCGCGCCTTCTGAGACATCTTCTGAGTTTCGCTTCGCTTCGTACTGCGACCGGAAGTCTACCTAGACTAGCCGGACACTTCGCAGCGAGATGACATCATGCATGCGCCAACCGCTCAATCAGTTTACGCACTACTGTCGTGCATTCCGCTAATGCAGCTGTCTCTGCGGAGAAAGAGTCGGTCCAAGTCTGGAGATATGTGCCCCGCATGGCCAGATTGTGCGCACCACCAATGCCAGAATCCCCACTTTCTGAATATCGTTTAACCGAACCCCATCCCCAGCGGCGTGGCCTGGGCCCCACTGGCCGATTTACCCCCCTAGCTGAGGGTATAGGTCGCTCTCTTCGGGTTCCTGGGGGCACATCTCCAACTGGGGTGGCAAGTTGGTAGGGGGCCTCGAAGGCGCTGGAAATGGGGACGGGGATCGGAGAAACGATACCGATCTGCTGTGTCTTCGGGGAAGGCTCAGAAGACTCCTCAGAAGGCCCTCCTGAGAAGGCCCGCTTCCCCTGCTGGTGGCTTTCGGGCCATGCCTCGAGCCTCCGGCGACCGTCTCTTTGGGGACGATCCGGGCACCCCTGGAGAGCCCTCGACGAGGCGCAACTGCTGGAAAGCATCCGGAGGCTGGAAGACGCGCCGAGGACCGACGGAAACACATGAAAACCTATAAGATTACACATTTAGAACGAAGTGATAAACAGTAGTTGTTCTTGTCGTTACATACCATACGCAGAAAGTACAAAAAAAAAAAATAGACCTGGAGAAAGCATCTCGAATATCGAGCCTCGAACCCGAACTGCCTGCTCCCCCCTGGCGCGCCGCCGAGGGGAGGCGGTCGGCGGACGTCCCCCGTCCTTCGCCGTGCGCACCAGCGCCACCGCCACGGCCGTCTTCTTGCGCCCGAAGCACTGCACCTTCTCCGCCTTCGGGCCCTCGGCCATGGCTGCGCTCGTGCTCTTCGCGTCGGGCGTCGCTTCACGGGGGGACCCCATGGGGGGTCAGAGGGGGGGAGAACGGGCACCTGCCGTGCCCCTTTAGGACCCCAGGGGGGCCCCTTTTCGGGGGGCACACGAGGTGCACCTTCCCTCACCCCCTCCATTTGAGCTACGGGGTCCAAGACTGTACACCACCACCGCCTCCCGCCCCCCTTCCCCCTCCCAGGAACGAGGAGGAGCAGAGGATGCTGGAGAAGGGGGAGAGAGAGGATGAGGGTGCTGGTGTATGTCCGTGGGACTCCCAACATCGCCCCCCCCGTGACGCAACGCCCGGTCGCGGGGGCGGCCGCGGCTACCGGACTCTAGCTGACTCCGCTTCGGACAGGGTGGTCGCGGACGCGGCCACTGGGGCGCAGGAGGGCCTGCCGGTGCTGTGCGCAACCCCCGGGGCGCACGCCCGATCTCACCACACGGCACCCACACCCTGCAGTCGCACCGTCGGCGTTGTCGTCGTCGTCGCCGCCGTCGTCGGCGGCGGCGTCGTCGTCGTTGCCCAGGCGGCAGGGCCAGAAAAAAGTCACCACCGAGCATGTAGTGTCAGATGTCTGAGAGCGCGCGCGTCGCCCGGCGCGCACACGGCATCCATACTCCGGGGTGGCTCCGAGTCGCGGCTCTCGGAAGCCAGGCGAAGGCTTGCAAACCCGTGGCTGCACAAACGGAGCTCCGGGAAGTTGTGTTTTTCTTCCAGGAAGCAGCCCGCGGACTATGCAGTGCGCTGAGTTTTGCTCCGGTGGTTCGTTTTTTCGTTCTTCTGGGAAGACCCGTTTGGCAGCCACGGATTTGCCAGCCCTCGCCCAGCTGCCGAGGTTCTCTGCCTCACGGCCGTCTCTTCAGCACGCTGCCAACAGTTTGCTGCAGCGAGCAGTGTTTGTGCTGCCGCTGCACCCGATGGTGTCCTCAGCAGCGGCACGAGCAAGCAAGATGCGAAGTGGGTGACGAAGCGTGGCGTACGCCCAGCACGGTCAGGGAGGAATCCCACCAGCCCTCTGGGCGTGGGTGGCTGAACGTTCCAACTCTACCAGGCCCCATTCTTCCCCTTCGCGGGGGGGGGTAACCGCGGGGTACCCCTCCCCCCACCTCCTCCCCTCTGCGTGGAACGGGGGGTGGCCGACGGGTTGGAGAGTCCATTTGCGTTCGAGATTGCTCCGAGATGGACGGATCCAGCCACGCAAAAGTGGCTTCCAAGATGACGCGAGACGTCCAACATGCCTCCCAGAGGTCATTTGTATATGCCTGACAGACGGCCCAAGGACGAAATGCCCCACAACTCTGGAAAGCTGGGCAATAAACTGACATCCTCTGTGGGCCGCCGTCCGCCAAGAAGTCTTCTTCCGTATAGCCTCAAATCCAGCGCTCTCGCCAACAACGCGGCCAACCGCCAGTATCCAGAATCCACCAGGCAAGCCTGGCCACTGCAACGGCGAAAAATACGGCGCATTTGCTTAACTAAAACAAGTCGGTATGAGGTCGGGCCCGGCGCCGCTAACTTCGCGAAACTGAAAGTGAGAAACGGGACAGAAGCAAACAGGAGAGGGAAGCAAAACATGAATGGTTAGGTTGCTCGTGTTACAATGCGTGTGGCAAAAAACAGTTCGCCTCGCCGCAAGGCTGTCTACTAAAAAATCAGCGTTCGCCTCCCAGGACACAAGCCAAGAGCCGTCGGAACTCTTCAGCGCGGCATTGCTTCGCTTTGAGCTGTGGTGCATCACCTAAACTGACAGAAACCAATCACACGTTCGAGACAGAACGGCTGAATGTGCCTGAAACATGCCACTCGTTCAGGCAGCACTCTGCCGAAAAAAAGTGATCCCCACGGCATGTCACTTACCAGCCACCAGTTTCACACAACAGGAATCGAACCACGAATGGGAGCTACGAAACTTAGCGCGAACCTCAAAATGTTCGCAGACCTGCTGTCGATCCATTTCTAATTCTGGCCCGGAAAAAAGACTCAAAGACGGCCACTGCGCACGCGAATAGTGCCATTACACGTGAGCAACGCTCGAATGAGAGGAGAGGGAAGCCTGGAGGGAGACTGGATTATGAATTGAAAACTACATTGAGATTTCATGTGCTACCCCACCAGGCAATTCATTCAATGTCAGGACGAAGAGATGCGGGTCCCGAGTTGGCGGCGCACGCACTGAAACGATCCACGATCTGCGGGCCCTGCGTGAAGAGCAACGCCGGCAGCGGAAACAGTTCAAGCAGTGCTCACAACCGGCCGCTAGTCATGCCTTTTTCTATTTTTTCATGTTTATCATTTCTTGTTGTTTTTGTTATCCTGCTTCCAACTCGGCCCCTTCAGCGTCCAACCTCTCAACTCCGCCGACCCCCGCCTGCAGGGGGCGAAGAGGCGTGCGAAACATTTGGCCTGCCCCCTCTCCCAGGGCCCAAAGTCCGATAAGAGGGGCAAGGGGGTCTCCAGGCTCCTCAACGCCCCCTCTGGGGTCACCCGAGCATCCAAGAAGCCCCCAGGCAACCCAAGAAGGACCACACAGAGCGCCAAAACAGTCCCAGAGAGCGGCGAGACGGCCAAGGGCAACTAGCCCCACAACGGTCCAAGATGGCTGCGAGACGGCCTACGAGGCCCCAAGACGGCCCAAGAGTGCTTCCAGAGAACCGCCAACAGATTGTCCTATTCCTTTGGGGGAACGTACAATATTAGCACACTCGCCTGTTTCGTTTTGGCAGCGTCCAAGACGGCAAAACGGCCCCCAAGACCGCCCCAAGAGAGAGCCCCAAGACGGCTCAAGATGGCGCGAAGACAGCCCCATGGGCCCGCAAGACGGCCAAAGAGGGCGAATACGAATTGACAATTCGAGCCTTTCCCTCAAAGATGACCCCAAACCCCCTAGAGGCGCTCGAGGTGACCCCAAGAGGCGCCAAAAGGCGTCCAAGAAGCCCCAAGAGGCCCCACGAGGCCCACGAGAGGCTCCAAAAAGTAAGCCCTTCAAAATGCCCCTTAAAAAATATCTAAAGAGACCCTCAGACGCATCCACACACCTCTTGACACACTCCATTCCTTCCACGAACGCTGCAGGGTCTCACTGCATCTCAACACTCCGTGGACGCCCCCCAGTGGCCGTCACGAGACCCCGACAACGCCCCGAAGCAGATCCCAGAACGCTTCACGATTGCCTCCCGCAGTCTTCACTGAGCCTTGCCCACAGATTCCCGCAGGCATAGCCGCGGAGACCGCCGACCCGCATTTGCAAGGGCAGGACCGCGCGCGGCATGCTCTGCCCCAGCCTCCCCCATTGATCTCTACTCCCCGAGCCCCGAATCCTGTTCGACAAACGGGCGACGACCTTGACCTCGTGACTGCCAAGCGAACACCAGCCTTTCAACACAGACCGCCCGGTTCCGAAGGCCCCAGGAAAGCCGGCGAGGCCCCAGGAGAGCGGAGGTACGGCACAATGTAGTCTGGCCCCAGTGGTCCGAGGGATTCCCGCGATCGCATACTGTTATGTATCTTTTCTGGGGGTCGGCGGGATGGCGTCAGCCACTTGAATATGTATGCATCGCCCCGGAAATGCATGCAAAGGAAACTGTGAACTTCAAACGCGCAAACGCGAAGACTGTAAACACTAGACAGATGTTGACGAACCCCCTGTCTCTGTCGAAAGTCCATTTGAATGTTTACACCAAAACATCGTTCTCCCAAATAGTAGACTTTTTAAAACGGAAAACGATACTACCGACAAAGCGGCGGTGTTCAAAAGATGTTCCAATGTAGCGGCCAATGTAAAGTTAAACTGGCATTTGATTGAAACGTATGTATGTTGTGTTTGCATAATTGCTTGTCATGTTGGCCAACTGTGCCCAAAACGATCGGATACTTCTTCAATATCAGTCCTTGTCGACTCAAACCGTCCTTGATTCACAGAAAACTGCGTGGACGTAATCATCGTCCAAATCTGGATCGCTAGGTACGATAAATTTGCATCGCCGCAGCACAAAGACTTAGTGAAGACATCGCGACTGGATCCTATGTCTGAACTGGGTATTTCTACCTCGAAAGAAAAGCCTTTTCCATGCTTATGTTTTCAACAGAAGCCTTGTAGTAATGAGTAACGGATTCCGCCCATTCTTCCTCAGCAACAGATGTTATGTTCGATAACTCGCACTCTTGCGATTAGACTGACTACACAAATAACGATTAGAAGCCATAAAATACGTCCAGGCTCAATTTGCACAACCCCCTCAATTCAGATTTACTGAAACTACACCGACATACACAAATTCACACAAATACATACGTCAACATACGGAAGATATCAACCGTGGCCCCTTACTTCAAGATGTGTACTACATGCTACCACGTCTTGTAGCAGCAGCAGGGCAAGTAAGCACTTTTCCCTTGAGCCAAACGCGAAGTACAACACACATGGCCCCTAGTCCGAGGGGCCAGGGAACGGAACCTAAACGCTAAACCTGAACACAAAACCTGGGCCCCTGCTTCACAGGTCGGAATTTCTAGCAGGTTTAACAGCCCCAAACACAACAGGATGCTGACCCTGCTGCTCGGCTGTCCATCGTTATGATGACTGCGGCTAACCCCTGGGGGAAAATGAGAACATTATGGGAAGACGGCAGGCCACTGGAAAAGGTAGAACAGTGATGATGATGGCAAAGAGGAGACGGAGGAGAGGAGGGAGACACCACCACCACCACCACCACCAGGACTGGATTTCTGGCACAGGAACTCCTCCCACGAGAGCAGACTTGCGTTGAGATCTCTTCTGGATGCAGCCTGGGTCCTGCTCTGGAGCTCGGGCTGAGCCTTGCGACGTTCAACTTCACCCCCTTCGTCCACGAGCACCAATCTACCGCTCGTCATAAGCTCGAACAAAGCGGCATTGCATGTCGACACGTCGTCTTTAGTCAGTGCGTCGACGGGCACGCGTCCACGCGGTATCCAACGCACACGGCCGCGAGCTCTCTCGAGAGCCTCGCATATAATGGCAAGGTCGATGGCAGTCCTTCTATCATTGGCCCCTGCATTTCCTTCTTTCATCATGGTCTCATATATAGATTTAGCATCGACCACGTGCACTTGCTGCTCACGTGACCCTAGCCTACAATCACGGCGCAGACCAATAGTAAAAGGGCCAGAACCACGATGCTGGTCCTGGACAACGACATCTCGAAACATGATGACGCGATACAATCTGCAAATATCCGATCTCGGCAACAGCTGCCGCCAGTGCTTGGGTCTCGCCGGCCAGGGAACTGGGCACTTTTCTTCGAAGCTTAGAACTGCGCCACCCTAGCACTGAAGCCTTGACAGAGTAATTGTCCACGATGCTGCTGTCGGTAGCTAGAATCATCCAGGCGCCCTGAGTCGGGTCTTCTGGGAGGCCCTTGGAGTCCACCGCGTGGTCCACTGCTCTAACGCCTCCAGCGCCGGAAAAAGAAACGAAGGCCACTCTCTGGGTCCAAACGCCATATGATGAGCCCCCCGGGACGCAGTAGATCTAACATGTCTCACCAGCTTGTTGGCCAAAGATGCCCCCGTAGTAGGACTC